AACGTTTAGTTTAATTGAAAGTCTGAACATATAACTTTGAGAAAAGGTAATTGCTAACATAATTCATATTTGGGCTGTAGAACTCCTTGCTACCAACATTATCAGAGTGAAGAGCATATAAGAATGGGATTCACAACTGGATTGGGCATTGTAGTGTGGTCTTGCTTGGATCACCTGTAGTGAAGGCTGTCTGAAACCTTTCATTAGAAGACCTCATTTCCACTTGCTTATAAGTTTGCCAAATTTTTGGAGTTTGGACTGAAATATCACATGTTGGCTCTCTGCTACGAGAGGAATTGTTTTTTTGTTTTTGTTTTTTTTTAATTTTAGGCATAACAGTTCAGCTGACTTCTCGAACAAAGCTAGGAGAAATGCGCGTTATCCATGTTGAAAAAATTAATTATTTTTCTATCATGGAGCCCTAGCAACTCCAAGCTTTCCAGCAGATAAAAGTCAGGTAACCGCCCCTGTCCCTCTGCCCCGTTAACAGACAGAGACCTGATATGCAAGAGGATAGGGTGACAGTGTCTCTGCATTAACACACACTTGGCTCCTGACATCTGTACTCAGTTCTTGCTCCAAGGGGAGTTTTGCCTCACTGGGGCCTGAGCAAAGTATGGGCCGTGTCTCAGAATTTGGCCTTGTATTGCACATATACTAACATCTTTCATGCTGAAGGATTCACTGTGCCACTGAAATGCATCACCTTGGAGCTGGAGGCCATCAGGCGGGATGCACAGGGGTGCACAGAAATCAGTGACATTTTGTCCAGTGATTCTTTAGCAAACTCATCACTTATGGAAAGGGCCCTGGGATGTTTCATGGTTGTGTGGAACATAAAGGACCACAGACTTACTCTCTATCCCCCCACACCCACGTTACAAAGGTTTTTTCGATTACGTGAGCTCCTCATCAAGAGATGGGTACCTGTGAATTATGAGATGGAAGTGTCCTCCTTAGGAATCCTGCTCAGGTATCCGTGAACGGCACCTCTCTGAATCCGGCATCTGCAGCATCATCTGACGCCAAGAGCTGACACAGTGTGCACAGTTCATAATATGGCTCTGTGTAATCCCAGTGGGGTTTGCTCAGCCTCTAGAGGACAAGGGAGCATCTGAATGTAAACAGACTGGAGACAAGCAACTCTCCACTTCTGTGCTAATTATCCAGCTTTAGGAGTAAACAGTGATTAAGGAACCTTCCCAAAGGGAGATGAGAACTCTTGGGCTCTGTGCTCAGTCAGGGAGGAATTGGCCGCTCTGTAGGTTTGTGTGGATATATTTAAAAAATATAGAAAAATGAGCAAGAAAACTAGGGATAATGCCTAACTCTCCTGAGGATCTGATATCCTGTAAATTCTCAGGATAGATTGGTAGACAGTAGACAGAGAGATCTGGAGACACTTGACTGAGAGGAGATATAAGCACTTACAGCAAACCTGTGGGGCTTCAACTAAGGGATCAGAGATCAGTGCTTCTCATCAGTAAGTATCATTATACTGTGTAGCAACTTTCATTGATGGATCTTCAAAAGCTAACAAAGGAGTGTTACTATGAACCATTACCATTTCACTGATCAGTAAACTGAGGCACGGGGAGACATGACTTTTCCAAGGTCACACAGACAAGTCTCCTGATTTCCCTTCCATAACCACAGTCTCTCTGTCATTAAGTGACAACATGACAACAGGGAAATGGACTCCCAGTCTTGCAGGGTCTGTTCACTTGGGCAGAGTGGAAAGGAATTCCCTGGATTGCAACTTGGAAGTGGGGATGGCCGAGCTCTGTGGCATACCAATCTGGGCCTCCTCTCACACTGTGAGGCTGTGACAAGTTGCAATAGTCACAGGTCTTGCACTTACACAACTATGTACAGACAAGGACACACTCAGCTGCAGTTGTATGAATACTGTCATTAGCCACTCGTCAACGAATAAACAGAGGCTCCAGCCAGTTCCCCGCAGCTCCCCACCCTAAGACCCAAGAGCTGGACCATCTTGCCCTGGCCAAAAGCCTGACCAGTATCAGTTTATTTCCCAGTCTACCCCTCCCTCAAT